ACACTGGCGGGGCCTGGGCCCCACGTGGGGCGGCTGGCTGATCTTGAGGATGGTCCTGCCCCGGGCTGTCCTTATGCATCCGCACCCAGACAGACACGCACACGCCCAGGCGCCCACGTGTCTTCGCCCAGGACACGTGTAGAGACAGCTCTGTGAGCGCTTGCCCGGCCACACCCAGTGAGCGCCCAGTGTCATGGAAACACCCAGAACAGACCTGCCTGAGGGGTGCTGGCAGGACCAGTCTGTACAGGCTTCCAGAGGAAGAGTGGCCTTGGCCAGAATGCGGGGGGCGGGCAGGGCAGGGTGTGGTCTCACTGACTTAGGGCTTTTTGAGCACCGTGTCCGACACCTGGAGGAGGAGTGGGGTCCTGTAGGGGACATGCTGGCCTGCCCGGGGGCCTGGCGGTTCCAGGTGAGGGATGGGTGTGCTTCGGGATGGGATGGGAGTCGGGCCTGGTGACTCCTGGCCTTGTGACTCGTCACCGTGTCTCCCGGGCAGGGCAACGTGGTCCTGTGGAAGCCCAGTGACACAGCCATGCTGGCCAGCTCTGCTGTCTACCGCATCCTCCGGGAGGCTGGCCTGCCCCCCAATATCATCCAGTTTGTGCCAGCTGACGGGCCCACGTTTGGGGACACTGTCACTAGCTCAGAGCACCTCTGCGGCATCAACTTCACAGGCAGTGTGCCGTAAGTCCCCGGGTTGGGGCGGGCCGGGTGGCGTGGGGACGTTTGCCAAGCGGCCGCCTCACGACCTCAGTGTGGGAGCTGGCGGTCGGGCACTGACCATACCCACTGACTTGCTGTTTGGCCACCGGTGGCCCACGTCACCTCTCTGAGCCTCTGTTTCTTGACCTGTTCACCAGGAACGATGGTCCCTACCTTGTAGAGTCATCGTGAGGGTCCGGTGAGTTAGCAAAGAGGAAGAGCTTCACAGGCAGGATGCAGTCTACGGATGTTCGGTGACGCTGAGTTTGATGCCACTGCTGTCACTGGGAGGGGCATAGGGAGCTTGGAATGAATTGGAGGAGGAGAGTCAGGAAGGCTTCTCGGAGGAGGTGGCATCTAAGCAGAGGAGACGGCTGAGCAGAGAGGGGGGAGGGAGAATGTTGTAGGAGAGGGAGCAGCACATGCAGGGCCTCCAGGCCAGAGCCCCTGCGCCTTGGGAGGTGGTGGTTCCCTGTGGCTTGGAGCGTAGAGTTCCGGGGCCAAGGTGAGCGAGTGCGGACAGGAAGTGGTTCGATCGTGACTCCTCACTTACTCACCGGCAGGTGTATGTCCAGCGAACAGGTGGATGGACAAGTCCTGCCTTTCGGGAGGTTTAGTCCCATGACTGTGAGGCCCCGAGAGCCCGCCGGGGTGTCCGCACTTCATCCCGAAGGTGACGGGAGCCACAGGAAGCTTTACACGTGGGGATGTGCATTAAGCAGCTTGGTTTCGAGCAAAGATTGCAAATGGTAGTTCTCCAGCTGGACGTGGGAAGTGGCTCTGTTCCCTTTGACTCCTTATCAAGATCGATCAACCTGGTACAGTTGGGGCAGTTTCATGCAAAAACCCAGTTGAGATTTCAAGCTTCTTTTGGGAACCTGAGCCCTCTGGGCCTCCGTGTCCCCCATGGCACCCCCTGGCTGGAGGTGGGGTCCGGGTGCTCTGTGGTCCCTGTCACCCTCACCAGGCCCCAGCTGTCTGCATACTTGGTCATCTGTTCCCAGCCTGGTCCTGCTGGGCCCCTGCGTTCGCAGCCTCTGTCCTAGATGATCACTTCGACTGCCCTGTGCACAAGTCGCTAGCGGCCAGAAGCGGGAGACCAGTGAGGAGGCTGTCCACGTGTCCGCGTCTAGGGAGGGACAGCAGACGCCTGACCAGAGTAGAGACGGGGGGAATGGATCCCAGAGAGCAAGTGGCAGGGAGATGCGGTCACTTGTCCGAGGAGTCGGATTAGTGGAGGAGGGGTGTGTGTGGGAACGTCCGGGCTCTGGCAGAGGGGTCCAGAGGGCACTGAGGTGGGCGTCTGGAGGGCTTGGGTGAAAGTGATGAATCACCTGCTGGTCACTTGGAGTTTGAGGTGCCCGAGGGTCGTCTGAGTGGAGATGTCGGGGTCGGCACTGGGGTCCTTCCAGGTGTCCCTGGGGACACCTGTGGTGGCCTCCAGTCTCCCTTCCCCAGCCTCAGGCTCCCCTACCCCCCTTCCGGCTAGGGTTTGCCGGGTGTGGTGGCGGCGTTAGAACTGCTGAGGAGGACTGTTTTCCGAAAAGACCCGCTCTGCCAGTGCGGGCCCTTACGGGTCCCTGCCTATTAGCGGGCGGAGCGGGCCTGGCCCCCATTTGCCATGCTCTGACGAGCAGCGGGCTTAAAGGTAGGAAAGTCATAAATTAGTATTAGCTACTGTGTCGCAGGCTCCCTGGTGATTAGCATTTTTATTGTTTTGTGGTGCTGAGGTTGGTCACACTTGGATCTTGGGGACGAGGTGGGGGCCTGAGCTCTCTCTCCCAGGGCGCTCCTTGGTTTGGCCTCTAGAGCCCCGGGCGCTGAGCTGGGGGCGCCCCTCCCAGACCATGGCGGCGTCTGGCCCCCCACCGGGCACTTGAAGCGCGGCTTCGCTGACCTGAGCACTTGACCCACATTAGAGCTGCCACGGAACAGCTCTGCCGGGTGGGTTGTTCGCTCCCGTGCCCGGGCGGGGTGCACGGTTTGAGGCTCAGAGAGGTCGAGTCATGAGTGTCAGGTCACGTGGCCGTGAGCGTCTGAGGCAGGACCCCCGCACGACCTTCTCTGCGTCTTCTTGCCGCCAGGCCTGCCGTTGCTGCCTCCCCCTGGGCCCCAGACGTCACCTTTCTCCAGGTGTCTCACCTGCCCCCGCCTACTCAGTTCCCTGCCACCCTCGCTGGGACCCCTGCCCCCACCCGCTAGGCTTTTGGGTCTCTTCCTGGGGTGGTGCCTACTCCCCACCCCCCAGGGCCCTCGCTGTCTCAGCGACCTCAGCTGGCTTCCTAAGCCTCGCGCTCCCCTCTGGTTTCAGCACCTTCAAACACCTGTGGAAGCAGGTGGCCCAGAACCTGGACCGGTTCCGCACCTTCCCACGCCTGGCTGGAGGTAAGGGCCCCTCTCCTGGCACCCTCCCCTGTGGCCCCAGGGACCGTCCCCTGGCCATCATGAAGGAGGAAGAGGAAGAGGCAGAGGTGAGGCCCCCATAGGTGGGGCAGCCCTGTGGAAGCTGAGAAGTGAGGGGCTTAGGGGCGGAGCCTCAGCTGTGCTAGATCCAGGGGGTCGCACCAAGGACTTTGGCCTCAGAATGAGCATTTTTCCGTCCGTCCATCCATCCATCCATCCATCCATCCGTTCCTTCATTCATTCGTCATTCAGCAAATAAAATGTTAAGCATTTACGTAGGCATTTCTGGAGACCAGGGACGCGTGATGGCAAGAGACACAGACCCAGCCCTCAGGAACTCGTGTTCCGGGAACGGAGGCAGATAGTGGGCGCGCAGATGGTGATGCTGGGCCGTGACGAGAGCAGCGCAGAATTCGAGGAGGGAAAGGGGGTGTGCGGAGGCCCCAGGGCCGTCCAAGGCAGCGCGGGGGCTGGTGGTTCGGCATTCTTGCTCCTGAGCTGGTCCGAGCTCCGATGGGGGGGGGGGGCGGTCAGGGAAGGTGCACCCTCAGCCGGCTGTGACATCTGCACCCCAGTGCCGCCCTTTATAAGGTGGGGAGCAGGGAGCTGTCCACGGTTTTCTCTTCTCTGCCTCCTTCCCACTGTGCCCTGAGGGAGAGAGAGGCTCTGACTGGAGCTCACGACCCAGAGATCAAGAGTCTCCGGTGCTATCTGCCGAGCCAGCCAGACGCGTCTTCAGTTTTCCTGTCTTTAAAATGGGAACGATAACGGTGGGGGGAGGGGGGCTGTCGTGAGGCTTTAGTGAGACAAAGCAGAAAGCGCTTTGAGCAGAGCCTGGCGGGCGGTTATTGTGACGGGAGCTGCTGTTAGCTGATGTGGGAGGAAGCCGGGGCCTGAGGAGCCTGGGGAAGGGTGTCGCCGCCGTGGGTAGGGAAGAGGGGCCAGCCCTCGGGGCCGACGTGGAGCGGACCCCTCTCCTCTCGCTGGGTTGGGGGGTTGGCAAGGTGCAAAGCAAGCCGTGCCCACGTCTGGGAGTAGATTGGCTCCTGGGAGCCTGGGATTCTGGTTCTTTTTCTGCTTCGATGGTGGGCGGCACCCCTGCCCCCGCCTCAGTTTCCTCAGCCGTGGAGCGGGACAGGGGCCTGGCTCGCCGGCTTCCGGGATGATGTCCGGCCGTGGCCCTGCCTTCTCCCGAGGCCGTCCGCTGGGTGTTGGGGCTGGGCGCCCCTGCGGACAGGTGCAGGTGCCGCGGCGGGTGCCCTGCTGCCGAGAGGCCTGCGCTCCACCCGCGCCCCCTCCCCCCTGCAGAGTGTGGCGGGAAGAACTTCCACTTCGTGCACCGCTCGGCCGACGTGGACAGCGTGGTGAGCGGGACCCTGCGCTCGGCCTTCGAGTATGGCGGCCAGAAGTGCTCAGCCTGCTCCCGCCTCTACGTGCCTCAGTCGCTGTGGCCGCAGATCAAAGGGCGGCTGCTGGAGGAGCACGGCAGGATCAAAGTGGGCGACGTGAGTGGCGCTTCATCCCCGCCGCGGCCCAGCGGGTGGCTGATGGGATTGAAGGCTCCCGCGCTGTGGCTTTGGCGGTGGCAGGCCCGGGATGCGCGGGGAGGGGGCTCCCTTTGTCTCCGGCCTGCAGTGACTCGGTGACTCTGTCTTCCGGTGCCTCCCTTGCCTCACAGCCAGCAGAGGATTTTGGGACCTTCTTCTCTGCAGTGATCGATGCCAAGGTACGGGCACGGAGCAGGCGTTCCCGGGGGGCTGAGCCCTGGCCTGGGTGGGACAGGGAGGAGACGCAGGGCTCTTGACGGGGGGCGACCCGGCCTCACTGCTCCAGGCAAGGCCCACGGTCCGACAGCCCCACAGACACGCCCGCCCTGAGCTTGAAAAAGGCAGAAATGTCCACCACCGGAGAACTTGCTTGCCACACACCCTGCAACCAGGCTCGACGAGTCGCCCGCTGGTTCACGTGCATACACACCCAGATGGGCCTGCACGTCTGCAGCATGAGCCCAAACACACGTGCACTCGTACGTGCCTGTCTGCGAGCCCATTCGCGGTCTTGGTGTGCGGGCGTGCGTGTAAGTCACCCACATAGACATCCACGTCCACGTGCACGAAGGTGCGCACGTATCTCCAACAGAAACAGATACACCTGTGTGCACGCGTGCGTGTTCGTGTGTGTGTTCACACGTACGCAGGTGCACGTCAATCTGCATTCGTGAATGTACATGTAACGGGCAGGTGTATTTACGCACGTACCTAAATGTGAAGACGCGTGACCTCGCGTAGGTGCGTGCGTATGTTACTGTGCGCGTTGTGTTTCTGTAGGTGTAGTTGTGGCTCTACCACACACACATTCTCACAAACGCTCTCACACGCATGTGCACATCTGCCCTTGTCTCTGCCGTGACTCCGCCGGATCCTGGCTTTTGCCCTCTTCCCATCTCCCCCCTCCGGTTTCAGAATTCGGGCCCTTTGGGGTGTGTTGGGGACACTGCTGCTTGTCATCACCTCCGGCCGGTCTGTGACACCCCTCCTCCCCCCCTATCCCCAACCCCAGTCCTTCGGCCGCATCAAGAAGTGGCTGCAGCACGCCCGCTCCTCGCCCAGCCTCACCGTCCTGGCCGGGGGCAAGTGCGACGACTCCGTGGGCTACTTCGTGGAACCCTGCATCATTGAGAGCAAGGACCCACGGGAGCCCATCATGAAGGAGGTGACTGGGGCGTAGAGAACAGTCTCCCACCCGAGCACAGCGCACGTGGGGCCCTTGCACGTGGGTTTCTCCTCGCGATATTATCCCATTTCACAGACAGGAATGTGAGGTAGTGTCTCAGTCCCCGGGAGAGTGGGGCCAGGCCCACTGACCCCAGATCCGGTGCTCTGTCCTTGACACCGCTGACCCTGCTGGTGTCATAGCACTTCTGCCTTTCGCAGCCACCGAGCTGCTGTCGTGACCTTAACGGCGAACACTTACAGACTCTTAACTCTGGGCACCTGTCTGAGAGGAGGGGCCGTTCCCATTCCCGTGTTACAGATGACCAACGGAGGCGGAGAAGTCAAGGCACTCGCCCAGGATGGCAGTGCAGGGGTGGTGGAGGGGACAGGGGTGGCTGGCCAGGAGGGCCAGCAAGCTCCCTCGGGTCCTTTGCCAGG